TTAGCATGATACATCCTTTGCATATGTTTATCGTGATCGCTTCATCGATTTAGTCGACCCATGCTAGTAATCTATCTTAAGCAAAGAGCATCACACACATTTGCCTTGTACTGCTTTCCGTGTATATTGACAAACAGACTTTGAGACAGAGAAATTAGAAAATTAATACCAGTCATTACCATCGACACCCTTCTTGTTCCCTATCACGCATGACCATATCCCGTCGAATTCATATCAGTCTATTTGAAACATTCCAAAACACTCCACTCTTTTCATGCCATTCATACGACTTCTTCATAAGGATTGCATTTTGCATTTCATTGAAAAGAACTGGGGGATAACAGAGAAAGAATAGTTAACATCTTCCAAAACAATAGCAGACTCAGTAATCGGTCTTCTCTCGCACTCGAACTTATCTACGCTTTTTCACAACTATTACAACCCTGCAACATCATAATTTTACAGCTACTGCGAGCCGCGTTATGATATTTCCCCCTTCAAAATGATTGCTAAAAACTGCTTTTATTTGAAAAACTTATACTTCCACCCATCCTCAACACTCCGATATTGAATTCGAGCATCTGAACGATAGGAGTTACGAGAGTCCGAATGGGGTTGGGGGTAAGACATGCAAAAGTTACTTTTTGACTACAACCTGACCACCACTCAAGGTCACAAGCAACAATGAAGAAGATGTGTGCTGATTGGCAGACTAGCCAGTACCCTATCACTGTGCGCCATAGTAAGGAAGGAAGTAGGAAAGTATGGAAGTATGTGAGTAACTACAACCAAGCAAGTGGATGGTGGGCCATTTCGTCGTTTTTCTCTCTTCTCGAATGCCTTTCCAAACTCAACTATGTAAAAGGTGATCTCATAGAGTTTAAGATGTTCTCCGTTCTCAACTTTTTTTCAGATAGGTCGATCGCTGCCTGTTGATGGCATGGCGATAACGACGTTGCCCTTTAGTGGTCCTATGCAATTTTTCCCAAAAGATGAAACTAGAATTAAATCGAATGATCATGAATCTCTTCAAATTCATCCCGCCTCCCCTGCGCAAAAGTGGCGCATGTCCTCAGGGGCATTCAAAACAGGGGCGATGATAGCTGACACTAGACTAAGCCTGAGAGGATAGAAACGCCAAGCGAAACACTAACTGCTCGCTCATACCCTCTCACACAATTCCTTCCCGCTCTGAGGCTTAGGCCCAAGTGTAAGTGGGTGCCCTAAATAGTGGAGATGTTGCGAACTTTTAGGTTCCCTACTGTGCATTATTACTAGGTCTTATGGTTAGTGACGCACATCATTATGAAGAGTCGCTTTTGGAGTGGTCCACAGGGATTTCAATTAGTCCATCTCTGTCAGCATCGAGGATTTTCTCAGCTCTAACACTGCACTCTGCGAGCCTTTGACTGCGCCACACCTGATGCGAGAAGCAATAGTAGCTTCAAAATGCAAACGGAAGAAGAAAAAGGCCGAAATGTTGAATTCCAAGGCAGAGAGCAATTAGAGACTTCCTGATTTTTTCTTTTCGAATTTGAAGTCGTAAAATCGAATTACCACATGCAGACCACTGAACTTCTTAATGACGAATGGCAGTACAGTGTTCTGATAAGGAACGGTGTCCTCACTAAACCCATCCTTCCCACCTAATATCCGCTACTCATGCTTTTTATTCTGTGTAATATCCACCAATTCAGTAGCCTATAGCAAGCGAGTAACCATGGTTCTTCTCCAGAAAGTCAGCGTCACTTTGATCATTTATATACGGTCAAAACTGTGAACTACAACTTTTTCTTCGAGAAGGCGGGAGTCTTCAAATATTGCCGAAAATCACCACCAGCTTTAGTTATGTAACTCAACTCGGAGAATGGGTTGTTAACATCTTCCTTACTCATCTTATCTGGAACGCTATCATACTAGCTTTAGCTGGTTGTGTTGCGAAAAAAAAAAACATGATAGCCTATGCAAATGGACAGTTGCAATGTCCTATCTCTGGAACATCTACCCTACAATTGAAATTATTCCTATGTATCCTATTATTTTAGGTGCCCCTTTAATCCTAGCTTTGACAGAGCGCGTTTTTACCCTTCATTTGACACTTCAAACTTTAAGTTGAATGTATTTTAATGACGATAGAACTATTCACGCTAACGAACACTGACAACTCATGGGGTCCACGTACAGCTGTGGCCGCGACTAGTTTGAGACGTGCTTGGTGTTCACATCGCTGTCGATTAAAGCGCTAACAATAAGAGGTCAACAATGTTAACTTAAAGTTTGATGAGCGTGTCAACGTCTTCAAACCATTGAAATTATTGACATATGACTATTAATGGCAAGAAAAATAAACCAGGTATTGTGC